TGCAATACTGGTGTTTTTAGTAGTGCAAACACTTGCATTTGATTCACAACATAAACTCAGAGATTTCAAATAGGAACAGAGTCAAAGACAGCCTGACCTGTTACTGTCTTTCTGAATTCTTTGCAACAGAAGAATTGCAGTATTATTTTTCCAGAGGAAAATTGAGTGAAAGCTAAGAGCTGGCATTTTCTGAGGGGTGCCTTGAATCTAACAAGGGTTGTCGTGAGTCTAAGGTTGAGAACCACTGGTGTTGGGTCTGGGCTCCAGACTTGACGAAAAGGAAGAATTATTTCAAGGCAAATATGGGTATTCCCCGCAAATGCCTCACATTTAATATTTCCAGCTCATAGGCGTAAGTCACAAACTGTGCTAGTCTGTTCATCTGCTATTGAGACAGTTATTCTGCAGTTAAAACAGCATACATTAAAGAAAATTAAGCCATGAAATTGTAGAGATGACCTACTTTTCTTCTTTTTTTCCTTCTATAATGCAATTAAGAAGTTTTAATTGAGTCAAAGTGTGCTATCCTGACCTGTATGCAAATCTTTGAAAGCTGTATTTATTTCCCATCAGAACTGTAAGCTGAAAATACAGCCAACAGTTAAATTATGTTGTTTTTCTGTCTCAAATTCCAACAGAATCATTAAACAATTTAATGTTAAGGAATCTAACAGTCATTAGACATCATTACTATTGGATACACAGGAATCATTAAAATGTCTGCTCTGTAAGTGATATCCCTTTCTGGCTCATGTATTTGTGCTTCTCTCTGTCTTTGGTTTCCTTATAAAATAATAAATAATATACATCCTTTTGAAAGTATTTTGATTGTATTGAATAGATGATTTATGTAAAAATACAATTTGTCAGCTTGTAGTCAATTCAAGTTACTTAAAGCATGCTCACAAAATGGAGCAAAGGTATACTGAGCAATTGGTTTGCTGTTTTATGACAGAATATGTTCTTACAATTATAAAAATGACATTATTTTCATAAATATTATACTGCAACATTACAGTATGGAAATATAACATAGCACTACACACTGGATCATTACCATGGCAAGCAGAAGTATGAACAGTATAAAAGTATGAACTTATAATACAGTAGCTGTAACAGATACCTATGCAAAATACTAATATTATATTACATTATGCTTATACTATATAAAAAGTGTGCATAAAATGTGCTTACAAGCAGTTACTTTGAAAAGACATTCATCTTACTATAGTAAGAGTACATGCTTCCTACATTGTGAATAAGTGCCAAGTTGAAGACTGAGAGTTTCAATAAATTATCCCCAATGCATGTTTTCCCTTTAACATGCTTTGAAAAAAACAAATCCTATGCCAAGTGCCATCTAGGATTTCTTCCATCTGAAAAGAAGATTCCAATAGCTGTATCTGAAATTTGATTTTAGTTATAAGAGCTTACAAGTTTTTCAACCATTAATAGTCATAATAATCTTAACAGAGAAATGCACATAAATGTATCATAAGATGATGTTTCACACATCTACCCTCATCTGTGCATTACACATAAATACACACCAAAAAATGGCCTACACTGCATCAAATCATCAGCCTTTGTTTACATAGTATTCATAAGATGTAGCTTGTCTTTTAAAGGCTCTTATTATCTGTGTTCTAAATTACTTCCAAATTTCAAAATCTCAAGAAATGACCTCCATTTGTTGGCTTCATCTGGCCAAGTATTTCTAGTAACACCTCTCTCTTTTAAAAAATATTAATTTAAATGAATGCCTTACATTTTTATTACTAGAATACACATAGAGCATAAAGCCAGGGCTTGATCTGTAGTCTACAGGAGTCAATACAGTGATTTCCACTGACTTTAGTGGACCATGGACCAAGTCATAAGTTCCAGAGCAGCAAAAGAACTTGGGCAAACTTTAGGTGTGATCCTCAGCTCAGCAGCTTCCATGTTTTAGATGCCTGTAGTGATAGAAGTTACATCTTAGAGATGCTCCCTAGCATAGGAGACTGAAGAAGTCAGGAATTGGGAGATGGTCCCTGAGCGAGGGAATAGCTAGTTAGTTAAAGAGAGAGAAAAAGTTTGCAGAGACTTGTCTACTGCTCCACAATAAAAGTTATTGTATGATTCCTCTTGTTATGTCTGATTGGTTTTTACTGAACTTGGTGATCACTACATGTCAGGAGGGGGATATGAACCCATACCTCTGTACATTTCTTACAATACATTTTCCCAGGTGCCCAGAGATGTACTTCTGTGCATGCCCAAAACAACTGCTACCTTGGCAGGGTTACCTAATTTGGTCCCTATTTCTGGATGTCCTTGAAGTAGGGGTCCCTCCGCATAGATCTCCAGAGGACACAATCTGACAGATGTGCTCCAAGCCCACAGCTGGAGGGGGGCGAGGCTCTTTTTTTTTTTTTTTATGCAACAGCTCAGTGGAGTGGTTAGTGCACTCATCCAGAACATAGAAGACTTCAGTTTGATGCTGTCATCAAACCACAACTCTCCCCTCCCAGGACAGTGCCCTAGTAACTGCCAGACTATAAGATGTTCTGGGGTGTAGAATATGGGGTGGCAATTTGCTACATCTCCTTCTGAAATTCTGCCACTTAGCAAAATGAATTCAAGATTCTCAGCCAAAGACAAGGACCAAGCAGAAACATAACTCTAGCCCAGGGAGGGATGTGCTTACCTCCAAGAGGAAAGACCCTGCTCCATAGATTACCAAGTTTATCCAGTATAAGTTTCATGTAAAATGGATAAACAATCCTTGGCATAGAAACAGAGCCCAGGTGCTCCTCTCCCAGGTGAGTCTGTTACTTACAGGGTTAGACAGTCATGTTGTTGCACTGCTTTTGGTTTAGGAGGTAGCATGTGAAGAGATACTGCACCCACCATCCCCAGCACTCAAGTCATGAGTCCCTTGGCAGATCTAGCTCCCGATTTCATAGACAGAAAATCTAATTGCTCTGGTCCCTTACCTACTGTCTTTGTGTCCATGATGGTCCAAGGAATATGCAAGAAGCAAGATTTGTTTGGTTTTATCTTTTATATAGTTGGGAGAGATGTTAGATTGGCATTTTGTGCTTAAAAGCTTGTGGAACATCTTTCCCAACTATAGAGTTGGTGTAATAAAATATATTATCCAACAAATCCTGCTCCTTGCTGCTGCTTTACGTTCAGTGCAAACAGCTGTCCTATAAAAAAGGAGAGTGTGTAGAGAAATGTCTTCTTGGAAGACTGTCTTCCAGGTTCATTTGAATGTCCTTTGGTGAAATGTTTATACCATATTTATAATTTCTAATATAAGATGACCTCTTCTTCCCACCAAGTTTCAGTTAACAGGCTATTGTCCAAATCACTGTTCTTGACATTTTAACTTTGGAAATCGAATACAAACACAGAACAATTCTCCAAAATCTTACCCTAAACAGTGTGGCAGTCCACAGGCATTCTCGAGCCCCAACAGTGTGTGAATGACAGAACAAGGAAACTCTTAGTCTTTAGCGAGAGACAAACAGCGCAGGTAGCAAACCACAAAATATAGCACTAATTTAAGATTATTCTGGATGCTGAAAGAGACAGTAACATTCTAGAAAGACTTTTTTCTAAATAACAGGCATAAATCAATGCACTTGCTGGGAAACATTACTCCCTTTAGAAACTCTGTTATGTAAGTGATTGCTCTCTAAAAATATCTCACAAGAGACAGGACTATGGGCTACTATTCCCCCAAGCCAGGACATTCTCATCTTTTAAACAACTTACAGCATTTCCCGGTCCTATATATAAAAGTTTCTTTTTCAACGTGTCTTTAGTTCAGTACACTGCTCCTATACGCAAATACATTACAGATTTGTCATACATAATTGGCTTTACACATGCAGCAAGCCTGAATTGAGACCTGAATTAGCTTGGGGGGCACAATGTTTCTTACTGTCAATTCATTAGTATAGAAGGAAGAAAGAAAGCCAACGCCCACTGATCAAACGGGTATTTTTTGAGACAGAAAGACAGTAAGTTTGACTGTAAAAGTTGAAAACGGCACATTTGCCTTGTGAGTGGTGAAATTCAGGTCCCTTTGGATGAAGCTACAACCATACGTAACTTTTATCTGTGGGACTTGTAAAATATTGCTTGCCTAGGAATGTCCTAGGTTACAATAAACAACATTTTTTTCCAGAAAAATCCCACAGTAAGTTCCTCCCCTGGCCTCTAAGAAGCGTTTATTCCTTCCAGACTGAAAATTGCTCAGTGTAAACACAGGAGAGAAACAGAGTTCGAAAAATGAACCATATGCAAAACTATCTAGTTAAAGCATCATTGTGGCTATGAGAAGCAGGTGATAGTCAGTCCTGACCAATGTTTCACTCTGTTCTTTAACACACGATTCACCTGTTTAAAGCGTCTACCATTAAAATGTCACCCACAATACGTGAGCAGTTATGCACACATACCATCTCTGCTTTCATCCCTCCACTCCGCACCAGCAGCATCACTCCTGGGTATAATAATATCATTGTTTTCTTTTCCCACGCTGCTCCATGACCCCATCCTACCATCAAGCACTGTGTGGCACTTGTATTATGTCAATGGTTAAAGTAAACTGAAGAAGAGGAGAGGGAACTCTCCCTGCACCCATCCAGGAGAATGGCGGGGTGAGGAGGAAAGGAAAACACAGCTTCCTCAAATGCTCAGCAGGGAAGGAAAGGCCGTGAACACCCTCACACTGAAACTGCTTCACTTTAACCTATGCATGACTCAATGCTCAACATTAAGGGAGCTAGCCAAAGGCTGGCTAGTGGCAGCCCCTTAAAAACAAGCTACCATGCCCCAAGCCAAACTACTGCCCAACTTCATTTGTCTCAATCAAAGTATAAATTGGAATTTTTTTGTATTCTGTTTTCTCATGCCCTGTGCATCATCCAGTTTGCTGACCTCCCAAGAGTGGCTAGAAGGGATCCGCACTGTATTTTAAAGGGAAAGAAACAACAGATACATACCCAGCCTCCGTTGTCCTGGATCCAGTTCTGGAGGTGCCTGTTTAGGTACTCCGTCATCCATGTTGCAATGTTGTCCACGAGGGGCGACATCTCCCGGTTGACACTCTCCACGCACATCACGCCACCGAACTCAAAGAAGGCCACAATTCTCCCCCAGTTCACCCCGTCTCGGAACAGCTCCTCCACTACCGCCACAAAGCGCCCCCTGGCTGTGAAGGGGGTCAAGTGCAGCTGGCCAGACATTTGGGCAAAGTCACTCTGGTAGCGGCGGGAGAAATCATCTCCCGCTTGGCGCAGGGTCAGGTGGACAGCCTGTGGGGCTGGGCCCGGCTCATTACCAGGAGGCACATTACTAGCAGCAGCTGAGCCAGCAGGCTCAGGATGCAGAGACACCGGCCCAGCGTGGTCAGAGGAAGTCCCAGCAGCAGCAACAGCAGCAGCAGGAGAGAAACTTGGAGGACCCTGTGCTCTGTCTTGGTGGGCAGCCCAGTCGTATCCCCTCTGTGACAGTTTGTAATGGATGTACTTCCGCACTATCTCCCGGTTATCATAGCCTCTTCTCCCAGGATTAGCCATACTTCCCGACAGGGAACCAGTGAGGAGGAGGAAGAGGAGGAGCAGGGCGAACCCCCAAAAGTAAAGCAGCCAGTAATATTAATCACAACAACAATTATAATCCAGTTATTGCATTGGATGCGGCTTCATTCATGACCAAGTGGGGAGCTCTCAGAGGTACTTTCCTCTTCTCAGCATTTCCCTCCTCAGTTTGCAACACCCGATACAAATAAGCACAACGAGGCTGCGAGGGTTTTATTCCCAGGCGCACCCTTAGCATCCATGAGACAATTTACTTCAGATCCATTTCCTCCTCGATGCCGAAGCACGTGCAGTTGAAAGAAAAAAGATCAGGTGCGTTCTTGTTCATCCTTTTCTTTCTCCCCTGCCCGGGCGGGTGCTCAACCACCCTGCGCGGAGGCTGCAGACCGCCGCCGAGTGAAGGCGCAGCCCAGGCACCGGGGGGAAACCCAGAGGAGACCGCCCCGACCTGAAATCCGCTCCTCTCTCAGGAAGACCCAGCCAGCATCCCAGACGTCCCGGTGGCCGGGGTGCTGGGGCAGACCAGACCCCCGCGGCGGGGCGAGGCGAGGCGAGGGAAGGCGAGGCGGGGCGGGGGGCGAGGGGCCGCCCCGAGGAGGAGGAGGAAGAAGTAATACTACATCCACAGCGGCTTCCCGAGGGCCAGGCCCAGGATGGAGAGCAGCCCCCGCGCCCGGCGGGGCGGCGCAGGCGGCAGGGGAGGCGCAGGCAGCGGCATGGGCAGCGCCGC